GGAATGACTCCCAGAGCTGCACAGGTATAAAAGCAATTCAAACGACAGCAGATTTAGGATTCACATACACCAAAGCTGTGTGAACGCACCCCTCCTCAGACTGACCGGCTGCCTTTCTAGACACAGCAGGACTAAGAAGGGAAGAAGAGACTGTCTTACCTTTTTTAGCAGTTTCCATTTCTTCTTCTGTCCAGCGAGAGCTTTCATTCATCTCCAAAGAAGCTGAAAAATAAACAGAGAACCGAGAGGTCAAGGCGGGAGGGAGTTAAATGCCTGGAACGCAAGGACTGAGCCATAAAACCCGAGGAGGCAACAACAAGGCATAAACTTCAGGCAGCCCACTATGAACGCACCGCACCTCGGCAGCTCCTGTCTGCTAGATGCCCTTCAGACTAACGGGTACCCTCTGAGCGCTCCTCTGTGCCTGCACGAGGGGGCTGGACAGCAGTCCCAAGCAAAGTCCCAAAGCAACAGGAGGCACGGTTGAGGCCCCACGCCCTTCCCACGGGGATCGACAGAGACGGGTGCCAGCTTGGCCCGGCAATCCCTGGCGCTCTCTACCCATGCGCTCGGTGCCACGAACACGGCCATCCTGCATAACGCATTCATTGTGAAATCAATCCTGCAGGCGAGTCTGGCACTTGTGAGCAAACCCTACAATAACAAACCCGTGGGTGAGTCAGAGGCAAAAAACAACTCGGTAAGGAAGCAGATTTCCGGTCCAGGCTGCCAGCGGACTATTACTCCAAACAACCGGCAGAGCATTATTTCAACCGTGATGAGAGATGTTTTGACAGTGTCCTTTTTAAAATGGAAAAAACAGGCTGATAGGTTAGGTGAAAGCCTGCCGATGGGACAGGCAGCGTCTTCAAGAAGCTGTAAAAGGAGCTGAGGCTCTAGAGGAGGAAAAGTATCGTCGCTCCGATGCCCATGACCTGCGAGGTATCGGGGCCTGCGAGGAAGATAAAGGGATCTCCTTCACAGCTGACTGAACAGGACTGCAGGTGCCACCTCTTGTAAGTCATTATAGGTCATTTCCTCCATTAGAAATAGAGTCCCCATAGAAATCCAGCCAATATGTGATAGCTCAGCTGAGAGAGGCTTTTTGATGGAAATCAATACCTAGGAAGTTTCCCACCTTCCCTCCTCCCTAGGCAAATTAAAGGCATTGAGGTTTATTTTCTTTAACCTGAGCATCCCAAACACGTTTGACTTGGCATTTAATTTGTTTTTAATAAGGCTGTTATTGTATGTTAAATAAATGTCAAGTAAGTGGTCTATTTGGTTTGATTAATGATATTTATTGAGGTTGAGCAGTTATGTAACAGATGTCTACTGGGAGCTCCAGCACGCTGCAGTTAAACCACAACTTGGGCTTTTTTCTGGTTGTTTTTGAATCTTCGATTGGTGTTTAACATGCAATAACTTCTCTTAGCCAACCTCAATTAAAGTGCTATTGGGGAGACAGCGCATTAATGGCTGCTTCAACGTGCCCGTAAAATCAATCCTTCTGCATTTGTCTCTGCCTACAGTCCTCTCCCTGTTCGCGAAGATGGCTGGCTGATTTATTGGTATTGCACTTGTTATTTCTTTTTCCACACCACCTAACAAACCCGAACAGGGACCCGTGCTCGATACCACACGCAAATAATGCCAAGATGCAGAGCTCACGGTTGAGGGTTTACACCATGTTCAGCATGGGTGTGGGTGGGGAACAGCTACGTTTCTACTCATCATTTATCATGACTGAGACAGAGTGTTTAGTAAGGAAATCTCACAACGGAGAAGCAGAAGGTCTAGACACACAACGTGGTGTACTTGCATGGGTTTTGTACGCCGGGGCAGATTACGCTCAGTTCTGCAGCAGACGCTCTCCGCTCTCCCAGAGCAACGACGTGCAGCAGGCACTATTGCAGGGCTTCGCCACTAGATGGCAAGGGAGCAGGCAACTGCCTATTTGCCTGGAGCCAGCAGCTAGCCCAGGGTAAGCTGACGACACGCAATACCTACTTTTACCCTCATCTCACCCCGGGGTAATTTTACCCTGCTTTCGAGTGAGTTACGGCAGTTCAGGGCTGTATAGCCGCTCCTTTTTTCACGATGTCCTTTCATGGTAAAGGTGTTACGAGTCTAGTAGTTGCCCATAAAATGTTTTCCAGCATCACACCTCAGCTCAATCATGTTACCCTTGTGTTTGCTACAGGGACTATACAGGAAAAACAGGCGAATACTGCTGTAGGCTTTGCTGAGTACCCAAGACAATAATTCAATAAGGCAATAAGTAGCTGATTATCTAAAGGCAATAATGGATAATTCCCCACGGACAGTAACTGCCTATCTGTCATGTAGGTGAGAGATGCGCATGATCTATCACGGGCTGGATATGCATACATTACTGTACTTCCCTGTATGCTGCTTCTTACCACGTACAAGCCCCTGCGTGGCTGGCAGGGAATACGATTACATTTCCAAGGACCTAAGCTGCACATAGGACCCTTGTCTCCTGCCTTTCTAATCCTAAGGGCAGTCTGCAGCCCGCTCACCCCTAGCTATAGTGCTGTTTTAGAGCGAGATGGGTTTGAATCAGGTCCCTTGTTCTGAAGAGCTCAGTGGGAGCATCCCACCACATCTTCACATGCAACCAGGGAGGCACTTAGAGGCAGTCTGAGGCCCAGGCCACTGGGTCCAGCTTTGGAAATGGCTCATTTGAAATCGGAGCACGCCTCCGTCAGCGCTGCAGGGACGGTGTTTGAAATGAGGCAGGCAATCAGAAAAGCTGCTCAAAGCACAGACAGTGTGGGACATATGGGATAGGGAGAAACTAACATTTGGGGTGGATGTGAAGGAAAAAAAAACAGCCAAGAGTTATATGAAGGCAGTCCAAGGGAAACATTCAGGCCAGCTGTCCCAGCCCTTCCCTCACTGAGTCACTGGTCTGAGTGCCTGCAAAGACGAGGAAGGGAAAGA